CTACGGAACCCCTCAAGGGAATAAATAGAAATGGGAGGAAAATACATATTTTAATAATGTCTCTCGCAGTTATATCATTGGGTAATTATATTGTATATAAATTGCGGGCATTAGGGAGCCACTAAACTGCTTTTGAATGCATGAGCCATTTTAGTTTCACTTTCACTTTCGAGATTTGTGATCGCACTTATACATGGAGCGGCGGTACTTACCACACATTTTACAAGATTAGATGTTTGTCAGTGGTGCTGAGGATCTGCAAATCATTCGCCATCATCCTCAGTCAGGTCACTAAGCAGGTTTATGCTTGTTATTCAGCTTAGATACAGCGACAGCGGGATGCCTTTGTCCATAGGGATTTCCTGGCATCAAAAGTTACTTCTATCATATGAGTCCGCTTTGGACTTTCTGTGCGAGAGCGCCCTCCGGCTTCGAGTATGAATGAAACATACAGCGCATGAGAGTGTTCAGTGCTCAGTGATGTTCACATCGTTTTGGATAAGAATAACGTATCCAAAACGACGTGACTATATTTTCTCTTTTAATTTAAATCTAGATGTATTCACATTGGCCCTTGAAAACCTCTACGTGAACACACTTGTCCGAGAAAAAGTGCATGGGAAAGAGTTTAGGTTTTATTAAAAGTCGGGGGGACACCTCCCTGGCGTATTGTACACCCATGCTACAGGGAGCCACCGCAGATGGATGAAAGAGCCGCATGTGCTCGGGAGCCACGGGTTGCCGACCCCTGGTCTAAGAGGACAAGAGCCATGCGTTTCCTTGAATCTGTTGTGAGAAATATATAATTTAAGATTCTTAGCAGGGCAGATTCAGTGCTATGTAAAGCTTTAAAACCTGATTGAAATTTTTCATTAATAGAGTTATCTGACAAAAATACTGTAATTGAGCAAGTACAACTTTCTCCATAATCCAAAACTCAAATTGAATTCAGCTGGACACACTTTCCTGTTTATCACAACAAATGGCCAAGCAAAGCGCACGACACTGACAAGGTACCCGATACAGTACGAGACCAAACGCGATTTCGTATTTATATAGATTTAGTCTGTTAAAACGCATTTAGAATGCCCATCAGATTCAAGATAAGAGGCAAAATGCCTCTGTATGTCTTTTATATTTATATAATTTAATATAGTTAATCTATATAACACTAAGAGTGCCGTTTTTCTCAGATATCAGCATGATAATAAATATAATATTGATTTTATACAAGTTTAAGAAAGTTATTATTAAGTTAACTTACATTTTTCATTCCTGAATGAATCAACCTTTTGAATTAGGTGACTTGTTGCCACCTGCTGGTGGCTTTAATTTAATTTAATTTAATTCTCAAATATTCAGCATTTCATGTTTAAAACAAAACATTATTTATGCAAGTGTAACTGCTGGTTAAGTGCATCCATGTCCCTGTGAGCTGCATTAAACATTCTGTGTAAATGAATCTAAATGCCATATGTGCAAAAACAGTTTTCTTATGTTGGAATGAAAGAGTCTTTGTACCAGATGAAGTGGCTCTTATGCTAACCCAAAGAGTTCAAACTGAACACAATCTTGCTGCTCAAACTGTGTATAGAACAATTTTTTAATATTTATTTGCTCCTTTTCTATTTTGATTTTACTTGTACTTTAACTTTCAATACTTACGTAAGTTTAATTTAGTTTAAAAATACTTTTCATACAATAAATTTCACATACTTTAAAACTTTTACTCAAGTAATATTCTAAACGGTGACTTTAACTTCTACCAAAGTCATTTTCTGGTAAGATATCTGTACTTTTACTTAAGTGTGGCTTTCAAGTTCAAGTATTTTCAAGTATACTGAATATACATAACCTTTGCACAGAACTATCAAAGATGCATGCTAAAACTCTCTCCATTGCATCCCATTTAAAGGGATGTCCTTATCAACCATCCCTACTTTAATAGATCAGTGGTAACTAGTGTGTAATGTGCCCTGTCGAAATGCTTCTCTTCAGACTCCAGCTGTAGATGTTGTGGGTGTGGGTTTAGCATCTGGGCAGATCATCATTCACAATATCAGATTCGATGAAACGCTGATGAAGTTCCAACAAGACTGGGGTCCAGTCACAGCTTTATCCTTCAGGACAGGTAATGTGTATACTATTATACCTTGTGTATGCTATATTTTTCGGTCCATTGTATTGCACTTACTTTGTCCTTGCCATGCAGATGGACATCCAATAATGGCTTCTGGCAGTCCTATTGGACACATAGGTCTGTGGGATTTAGAGGAGAAGAAATTTGTCACTCAGATGCGAAATGCTCATACAACAGCCATCGCTGGCCTCACGTTTCTTCAAAACGAACCCCTCCTGATCACCAATGGAGCAGACAATGCCATACGGGTTTGTTTTTCATGATGTAATTAGGGTTGGGCGATATGGCCAAAAATATTAACACAATATTTTTTTCCATATCATAAGATATTGAGATATTTATCACGATATTCATTTGCAATTAATGGGGAAGGAAATGCTTTCCACATGTTTGTTAGACCATGAGAGTGAATGTAAACATAACTTGTTTGTTCACAATTAAACTCCACAGAGTAAGATACCTTTAGGGACCCATGAAATCCATTTTCCCCTAAATTCTCTTGTATGATTCCATACAAATTTATCATAAAAAATGGTGTCTAATAAATTTTTTTGTTATACAATAGTAATATATTTCTGCCATAATTTCTTCAAGTTAAACCAAACATTTTTGACAGATTGACATGAAGATCTTTCAGTTTAAGTTTCCGTGTCAATATTTGACGGTAGTTTTTTTCTCTGGAATGTAAATCTGGTGAAGTGACTATCAGGGCAGCCCTAGAGATAAAGTTCATAGCTATAGTTTGCGTATCAGACGAAACGGTGACATTCATTCACACACAGACATGCAGAACATGCAGACTTAGCAACATGCACTAACTGGCTGTTGTCACGTTTATTTCTGCTGTGTGATAGACTGTTAGATTAATCCATACCGAGTAAAAATGTCAAGCGCTCATCATTGCTATTGACGTAAATTTTATCATGATCTCGATATGATATAATTTATCGCCCAGCCCTAAATAGAATTGCAATGTGTTGAATGACAGTAAACAATGGCTTGTGTGATGTAGGTGTGGATTTTTGATGTTGCCGGAGGGGACGGCCGTCTGCTAAGACAGCGGACTGGTCACAGCGCCCCACCAACAAAGATTCAGCACCACGACCAGAGCAGCTTAAACATTCTTAGTGCAGGTACTGTCATAAATCAAGGATTGAAGATAAGGGAAATCATTGTAGATAAATGTATTCAAGCACAATGATGCTAATTTGTTTTCTTCTCATAATAGGTCAAGATGGTACTTTGCAGTCATTTTCAACTGTTCATGAAAGATTCAACAAGAGTTTGGGGCACGGTAATAACTACTTGGCATGTTCTTGTTAGTGCATATAAAGGTGACATTTGTATGTGTAATAATAATTAGCAGCACCAAACGCAATTGTATCAAAAAGAATTAGATTTTTTTTTACAATGGTTTTCAACCCTGTATAGCCGGACATGTGATGTAGTGGTCAGAAAAGTCTTGTGAAGGAAAAAACAAAACATAAAATGCAATGCAATACAGTAATGATTGAGATATACACATAAATGTTCTTCAAAAGCCTGATGCATCATATATGACACTTATATTATATACATATTATATTTATATACATAATATATTATATATTACATGATTTTTCCAAAATAAATGATGTGTGGCTAATCAAGCACACGTAGGTTGCTTCAGCCCAGTAAGTATTACTAACAATATAAAAGTTATTCCTACGTTTACTTTATAAAAATCATTAAGGGTTTTATAGCAAAAAGACATGTATAGCACAACCTGAAGGGGGCATTTTTTAAAAATTATACTAAAAGGACTTTTCCTTGCTAAAATGTATAAGTTATCAATCAGATTACATAATGCAGGTAGTAGATTGTGTACAACAGTTTTTTTTTGTTTTTTTTTTCAGTTTTGATCATGTTGATAATCTAGAGGCCTTAGAAATTTGCCTATCAAATATGTTACAGTAGGCTTTAGAGCAGGGGTGTCCAAACTCGGTGCTGGAGGGCCGGTGTCCTGCAGAGTTTACCTCCAACTTGCCTCAACACACCTGCCTGGAAGTTTCTAGTATGCCTAGTAAGAGCTTGATTAGCTGGTTCAGGTGTGTTTGATTAGGGTTGGAGCTAAACACTGCAGGAAACCGGACCTCCAGGACTGAGTCTGGAGACCCCTGCTTTAGAGGGTTAATACTTTGCTAGGGTGTTCTTGAAGTTTAATACTTTTTAATTAAGTAAGTACTTTTTTTTTTTTCCAGTATAATACTTTTGCGTTTGTTCAGATTATTAGTAATAGAGATCCTTGCCATGTTTCCAAACAAGGTTCCCTTTTAAAAACTATTCAGCCCCAGTTTTCCATCATTCAGTCTGCCTAGTCAATTATTTGCTTATTTACTTATTGCAGGTCGTTCTTCCACCTCAAACTCACGCCATTGGTTGGCCAGTGCTGCTGTATCTATCTCTCAAATAAACAGTGCTCTGTTTTGAAACACCAGCCGACAAATAGTTACTTGTTTTTACACATTAGTTAAAACTATTTTTATAGTGTAACATTGCACACTTCACTTTTTAAGCTTTAAATTTTCACATTATGGAGATTGATGTCATTTTGTTTTGCTCCATGTAGTATTTGCATTGTATAAGGCTTCAGTAGTCATGTTTACCAACAGGCACCCTCAACAAAACAAGAGCTAAAAAGAAAGGTGTGACGAATGACACGGCGAAACTTCCAGCCATCACAACTTTTGCCTCAGGTGCGATTTTTATTTTGTTTTTAAATTGAATAATGTATACATTTTTAAAAGGATTGATTCACCCCAGAATGAAAGTTCTGTCATCGTTCCCTCGTCATTAAACTTTTGTTCATGTTTGTAACAAATTAGGATATTTTTAATATGCTTTCATCAATTTTGTCCATCCATTGAAAGTCACACAAGCAAAATTTTCAATCTTCAAAAAGCACATAAAGACATTGTAAAGTAATCCATATGAATTGAGCAATTTAAGTCTCCATATATTATTATGGCTTTAAATTTAGCCTTATATTCACATATAAACATTAAACAACCGACATACAAAGAGCACATAAAATATGATAAACGGAAGCGCAATCGTGTGTGTGCAAGAACAAACCTCATTGGTTCAAGTGCACACGCTTAGGTTTCCTAAAAATATTGAACTTCTTAAAGGGATAGTTCACCCAAAAATGAAAATTTTATGTTTATCTGCTTACCCCCAGGGCATCCAAGATGTAGGTGACTTTGTTTCTTCAGTAGAACACAAACGAAGATTTTTAACTCAAACCGTTGCAGTCTGTCAGTCGTATAATGTAAGTGGATGGGAATCACGGCTTTGAGAGTCA